CCTAGTCCAATCTTTTCCTCTTATACATCGTATGTTTTCTTTTTTATCCGTTTTTTATCTATTTTCTTTTGTCTTATTTTGCGTCTCTTATAATGTGTCCCTCCTTGTTTGTCTTGTATTTCATTTCTTCTTTCTTCCCATTGTTTATATATATTCTTATTTATTGTTAAAAATAATTAGGGTAATTTTCTCTTCTACTTTAGGATAAGATCTCAGGAGCACCTGCAGGGCAAAGTATAGAGCTTCCCCTGACAACTGGCAACGATGGCAATGTTTTCGTTGAACAAGCCGGGACCTCAATATCATTAGAGGACGTTGATGAATCTGCATTCCTTTCTTCCTCCTTCACGCCTATTGTCACCAGTTCAAATGAGCAATCCTCTGTTGCTATTTCCACATCACTTCCGGTTTCGTCTTCAGCGCTGCCTGCTTCAACTACTGCCTCAACAGCCATACCAGTATTGCCATCACAAACTGGGATTATATAAACAGACTCTAATACTTCCGTATTTTTCGTTCTTTTTATCTGTCAACTGCCATCATCAATTGAGGTTTTTCTTCTTTTCCTCAGACCATACTCCGATTCTCATTCTTAGATTTTTCCTTTTGTCTATGTCTCCTCCATCTTCATCGATGGATAGTTTGGTTCTTCTTTTCTGTTCATAGTTAATCCGAATTGATCATCTGTGATATACCTGAGCTTCAGATGCATGGAAACTTGGAAATATTTGCTTTTGCTTCATCACATTGTATCACTGTTTCCTTTAAACTTTTTTACTCGTAGATCGATTGAGTTGTGGATATATTGTTTGTTAGATAGCATTTCGCTTGGCTATTGACCGTTTGTTTTGATAGTAATTGATGAATTCTAATCTTTCGGAGTACTTGACAATTTGCTCAAACTACCGTGCACTGATCCTCAATGTACTTTTGGGCTTTTCACTTGAGGTATATTCTGCATTCCTAAATAGAGGCGGTTCTACCATTGTCCTATTTAATATATTGAGCCTTCGTGGGAGGAGTCCGCTGTCGACTAAGCTACACTTCTATTTTACAACTAAAATAATTCCCTACCTAGTGATAACAATCTAAGACACGACTGAAAAAAAAGGCAAGTAAAATCAACTCGAGCAATCAACCGGAAAATGAGAATGTAATCAAACCATGGGCCGCGCCGTCTTGATCTTCATGTTTGGATCTTGCTAGGGTATATGAGGAAGATGAGAGGAAAGGAGCAGCTTGGGTCCTCAAAAGATAGTTTCAGAGCTGGTTGGGATCGCTTGATGGCATATGCGCTCGTTAAAGTACTTGGTCTATTAGGACCCTCGTAATTTATGGGCCAAGGAGCTATTCTATCCAGTAATGAGGTCCGGGACGAAAATAAGGTCAAGCAAGCAATGGCGTAATAGACAAGTTTGGCGTTAAAATTTCAGACTCCCGCTCACTAGGGGTATTGCTAAGCCTCAGGCGAGATCAACACTACTGTCCACCCTGGACGAGAACACCTTTTGGCAAAGCGAGGATGGGAAATTAATAGAAACATGTCTACTCATATGATTGTGGGACAATTAAACTGCCAGGCCCCTTATCATCCTGAGCAAAGTAGGATAAATATATTTCATATATGTATGTATATATATATATGCATATGAAGGCCAAAATGATTTATTTTGCTTTAAAACCGAGAAGGCAGATGGTATGCTGTGCTAGATCCGAAATTAGCGTTATCATTT